CCTCCAGCTTCAGGTATGTGCTACGACAAAGAATGCTGCTCGGGACGCCCGCCAAGCCCAGGGCAGAAAAACGGCTAAGCAGCTGTATGCTAAGTAATGAGCTGCGCACTAAATAATCCTGGAGGCCCTAGCTCCTACAAGCTTATCACCTTACACATGCAGTTGACCCTGTTTTCTAGAGGATTTAACCCCATAGCTCCACCAGAGACGGGAGTTAGGATGATAATAGTTATTAGAGGGAATGAAAATCACTCCAGTTACCTTAATCACCTCCTGTAGAATATATCAGACAGAGACTGTTTACTGTATTTCTGTTCCTGCGTTACACTGTTTTAGAGTTCACTTGTGTGTGTGTGTGTGTGTGTGTGTGTGTGTGTGTGTGTGTGTGCGTGTGTTGTGTGTGTGTGACCTAAAGCAGTGTGTGTTGTGTGCACAGACAGAGGGGCGTGCAGTCTAAATGTAATCGGGACAGAGAGAGAGCAAGAGAGAGAGAGACAGAGACAGAGAGAGAGACAGAGAGAGAGAGAGAGAGAGAGAGAGAGAGAGACAGACAGAGAGAGACAGAGAGAGATAGAGAGAGAGATAGAGAGAGAGACAGAGAGAGAGACAGAGAGAGAGAGAGAGAGAGAGAGAGAGACAGAGAGATAGATAGAGAGAGAGACAGAGAGAGAGAGAGAGAGAGAGAGAGAAGAGAGAGAGGATGGGACAGAGACATGATGAGAGGACAGAGTAGAGAGTACAGAGAAAGAAGGAGAGAGCGATAAGAGAGCGAGCTTGATTCCTGAACAGAAGGAGAGAATGCTGGGATAGACTCCAAAGCCCTGCAGGCCCTTCCAGGAGCGTTAGAGCTGAACTGGGGTCAGGGGCTAACCCCAGGCTATACTGTTTAATAAAGATAATTATCTGGGTTCCATCTTCATAGTCATTACCGTTATAATTATCATCACTATTACCATCCAGCTCCTCTTCTCTCCAGGCCCGAGCATGCTCTTTCTATCCAAATTGACAATATGTATTCCCCAGGTTACTTTCTCTGAGTTCTATTTACATAACCAATACACAGAATGGCTATGGGAAGCAGCGAAACCCTCTGTACAATTACACTAATGCTATTACTCCTGCCTGCTTGCTTAAGAAATTATCAAAGCGCCCTTTGCAGTTCTGTGAAGTATGAAGATTGAGGATATCTTTTGAAACTGTGTTATCATAAATATTTAAGGCTCTCTGAAACTACTTGAATAAGGATCATCAGTGCAATATGTAGACTTTAATGTTCTGCCTTTGAAACAAAGGAGAAAGGAAGAAAGAAAAACAGCTCTCCAAGCGCCTGCTTTTGTGCCCGCTTGTTGTTTTGTCAACACCAGTGATAAGCTGTTGATAGCAATTAGACATTAAGCTCTCTGATAGCCAGGATGGAAGCTAAACAAAACCAGAGTGAGACAGGAGTAGGAGGAGGGAGGAGGAGAAGACTGAGAGGAAAGTATCTTGTAACTTTTTCTTCTCGCTGATACATGAGCACAATTTGTCCTTCAGAGCTTATCGCTCTCAGCATTAATGAGCCTTGGCAAGTTCTAACAATACTTGCAGTTGGAGCTGGAGAGCCCTGCTTTATCACGCAGTGAGCCATGCAGCCATGGGAAGAACATTTGGGAACGTGGAAGGTGCGGGATGAGTCTGTTCATGTTTTTCTTGCGTGTGTGTGTGTGTGTGTGTTACTCTCTGTTTGTGTATCATAGAGAAAGCTTGAGGAAAGCACAGTCTAGGTCTACTGAGTGTCTATTTATAATGGTGTTCTAGGTCAGATGGGCTAGTCATATATTTGAAGGGGTGAGGAGGGGGCTTCAGTCATTAATTCTGATAACGTATTTAACCCTGGGAATGGGCGAAAACAGAGCCTCCAAGACCATGACTTGGCTGACCTTTAGAGAACACAGTAAACAAAAAGAGGTGCATTCCTATTAATTGAAGTCTGTCCGCCTGTCGTATATTTCGGCTGCCGGCTGCTATTTACCCTGCATAGAGTCTGCCTTAAAACAGCAAGGCAAGTCAAACATGCCCTTTTCTTTAGTGCTGGGATCAACAAGCTAACCATGTGACTCCTATCACTTCTTCTACAAAGCACTGGGAGACAGGATGATTCAAACAGAATATGAAGGCAGAGATGCAAGTGATTAAGTTAAGTTCACTGTCTCCTCTCATAGTGATAATAGTGTTAGCTCCCATCGCCCATCTCCCTCAAGTCTACCAGTGAAACAGAGGGAGACGCCAAGAGAGAACACAGCAGGAGCTCTGTGTCACACAAGTCACATCAGGACAAAAGAAGCAGACAATATGTTCTTTTAGTCAACAAGAAAAATAGAGTGACAAAGAGGAGATGTGTCATTTGTGGTGAGAGGATATGAGGAGACACTTTGTCCGGCAGTTAGAAAGTACAGCACTGCGTAAGTGGTCATGCTCTCTGGCTTACACTGTGGCTCCTTGTCAGTCAGAGGACAACTAATTTGAGCGGTGCAACTAAGTAGAGGAAGCATTACATTATGATGTTAGTTCCCACTGGGCAATGATGACGTTTAATCAACGTGGAAAACTGATTGGATTTTTAAAAAGTCATCAACGTAAGGGAATTTCCTCTTTTTGCCAACCAACTTTTAACCTAAATCCGATGACGTGACATTTTATGTTGATTTCACGTTAGTTGACTACTCACCCAAATGTAAATCTATGCATTGAGCTGTTGTCTGTGCCCAGTGGTTTATCATATTCTTTCATCCAGTATATTTCTGATGTCTCTCCTATTCTGTGTAGGCTCTTATTCTACATGCTAATCTTTTAACAAAGCATCTGTGCTGCTAATTGCTGAGGAGATCCTGTGGAGGATCAGCCAGACAGAAGTGTGTGTGTTCTGGGTGTGATCATCAGTAATGGCCATATCACTAAGTTTGGTTTTCACGCATCACCAGACAGGAAGCACTGAGATTCAACGACCCCCCCCTCCTCACCTGCAACCCCTTCAACTTCCTGGGCTGAGGACCCTCCCCCTGCGTGGCATTGGCTCAGCATGCCTCTCTAATTAAAATATATCTCACTGTCAGCAGCCTGGCAAGGTATAATTTTCACCAATTTACTCAGTTTAGATTGTGAAATATATGAACCTTAAAAAAGTGTCTTATTGGAGGAATTAATTCCCACAATGCAGCAGCAGTAATGTGCTCAACCATCCAGTCAGGGATGCTAGCCGCTCTGTCAGTCTTAATGTTGGCCACGCACCCGCTCACAATCTCCACTGTCATAACAGTATGGGCCCTACGTGGAGGATCCTCTCACTCCCCCTCTCTCTGCCCTTCCTCTCCAGGCATAAAAAACCAAGGTAACAAAGGTTTAGGGCTGATGGATGTAAATGAATCTTGGTCGGTGCGTTTGAGTGTTGGAGAGTGTAATTTGCTTGTCAATACAGGGTGGGATGGCGTGGCCATGGTGGCTGGCAGGGAGAGGCTGTCACCAGGCATTTTCAGTACACAGGGCAATTTCACTCAATGCTTCCCTGACAGATTGGCCCTCGTCTACGAGTCACAGGAGAGAAGGCATGTAAACTATCCCTCCGACCGAGTGCCCCTCTTCATTAGGGTCCACTCAGGCCTGGGATGAGCTCAGGACAAGCAGGAAACAATGGCTCCATCCTGGACTGTCCTGCCCTGATTACAACTGACACATCTCACCTAACAGGGGAAATTGTGCTCAGATTGTACCCCCGATGAGCCCCGCCACCCACTATATTCAATTGAGCGTACAAGACAAGAGAAGAATTTCCTTAAATTTCACAAAATAATTTTCTATTTGGAGTTGCACTTAATTTGTTGTTTGTACACTATCCCCTCTCCCATAAATTGCCCTGTGAAAAACAATTTCCTTAAAGCTGATGTGGGCCTGATATATTGTTGGGCTCTTTTACCAGGGTGATAAACAGGAGAGGGAACTTTAGACAGGACAGTTTTTTATCATTGGAACCAGACTTTGACATTTAAGCAGTTTTAGTGAAAGCATCATTGGATGAAGCGGAACATCTGTGTCCTCTCTATAGAGGATCAGAGAGAGCAGCAAATAGGACCCTCTGCTTTCAATCAGTCAAATCTCCATTTTAGTCTATCTCTCTCTGCCCCTCAGTCTCGCTCTATCACTTTCTCTCATCTATATCTCCCTGCTTTCTCCTCCATCTCCTACTTTGTATATTACCCTCTTTCTTTCTTTCTCTCATTTATTTTCTTTGCCTCTTTCTGTGTGTCACTCTTACTCCTTTTCTTCCTCAAATTGCACAGGACCGCCACATCCTTAAGCTGTAAAATATTGGATGTTAAATTGCCTGAGTGGTGACTTTACACTGCAATTACCATCCATCACAGTGGAAATGGCATCACTCAGGCCCAATGCTAAACCTGCTCCAGCCTTGCTGTCATAAACACATGAAAAGCAGCCCACGTGCTACAATGACAACCGGACCAGATCTGAGCAGCGAGAGATGCGTGTGAAGGGCACTCAGTGGCTGAGACGGCTGGAGTGACAGGGAGGACTCGGAGTCTCAAAGACTCCCAGACAGAGAGGGAGAGCAGGAAACCTGGTATTATCTTTTGTTTGGAGGCAAATGCATGTGTACTCCGGATGTGTGGAGAGACTGGGGCCTCTGCCATCACCAACAACAAGTGAAGCACTTTCGACTTTGAGTTTAAAGAGAGAGAAGAAGTGAGACAGACAGAGAGAGAGAGAGAGAGAGAGAGAGAGAGAGAGAGAGAGATAAGAGAAGAGAGAGAGAGAAGAGAATATACGCGATAAGAGAGGTAGATATAGCGTAGATATAGATAGACTCGCATAGTATGATCATCTATACTATCCTGCTAACAGAGAGCAGCTGGTTCTCTGTTTGTGAGGAGAGGAGAAGAGAGGAGTGTGGTCTTTGAAGGTAACCCAGAGCAGTGCAGCTGTGTATGGAGAGGAGGAGAGCTAATGGGATGGCTAGGTGAGCAGCTGGATAGACTCTTTAGTGAACAGAGGGACAGATGGACAGATAGTGTGGATAATGCAATGAGAGGCGCTGAATGTGAGGGCTGGTTCAGGGGCCTGACTGATGGCTAGGAGCTTTGGGCCTGGAGAACCCACACAGTGTTAGGCTAGGATAGTTAGATCCAAGATGAGAAGGATTGTGTTGTTGAGAGTGTGTGTGCATTTGTGTGTGTGTGTATGAGAGAGAGGCAGAGGCGAGCAGGCTGGACGGAGAGAAGGAGGAGGGGTAGAGCAGGGGAGCAGGTTGGGTGCCAGCAGATGAGACAGATGTTGGGCCATACTGGAAAGCATCGGCACAGTGCACCAGGACGCCTGCCTCCGCTCCTGACATCTGGGCCTCGCCTGGGTCAGCCTGCCTGGTCGCCCTGGGCAATGAGCCTGTACAAGCCTTGTGGCAAACGGGGCTGGCGCTGCGCTGCCTTTTAAACGGCGGGGTGCACCGGAGCATGATTAATGCCCTCATGTCCACCCCACTGCTCAGCAGAGGCAAGGCAGAGGTGACTGAGAGAGAGAGAGAGAGAGAGAGAGAGAGAGAGAGAGAGAGAGAGAGGAGAGAGAGATAGAGGAGAGAGAGAGAGAGGAGAGAGCTGATAGAGAAGAGCATCAGAGAGAGAGAGAGAGAGAGAGAGAGAGAGAGAGAGCTGCCTCAAAGGACAGACAATAGCACATCACACTCACAATGCAGTGATCTTAAGTATAGCTTTGTCATCTTTCAGTAATTTGTAGTGTGTCTGTTGCGTCAGAGTGAGTTGAATCTGAGGCCTCAGTTGTTGGAAGTGTGTAATGCACCATTAGGGCTGGGAGCAGGAAGGCTGTCCAAATCTGCCACTGTATTTTACAGCATCTGTCACTGAGCTTTGGCCCTGCCCTTCTCTTTAAGAACAAACAAGATTCCACAGCTTGTTTTTCAGAGAAATGTTTTTTTTCCCTCCCTGTTTTTCCCCCAAAGCCCACTCCACATCCCCCTCACCCTCCCTCTGCCCCAAGTACACAAATGGCAGAGGCAACTTACAGAACCTACTCAGCCTGTTATCAATGCTGCTCTCTAGTTGCATTTCCTTTTCTTTTTACACCAAATTAAAAGTGTGGAAACTTAACGAATAGCAGGCTGAAACAACACACATCTAATTAATTTTGGCTGACAATAATTATTTTGTTCCGAATGGATTGGTTTATCCAAGATGCAAAATAATGAGTTTTCCTTAAACATAAAACATGGTAATTGATCTGTTGCCTTTTATATATATATGCCCTATACTATATCTAAATAGCCTCTGTTGAGTCTAATATGCTGGGAGCATGGTCTGGACATGTGCTGAGATGTCCAACATCATCAGTGGAGTGTGTAATCTCAGTATAATGTTGTCGCAGGCAGAAAAGTGAACCTCCTCGTTTAACCTCTGCCGCCTCCAGAGGGCTTGTTTTTAATTACTAGAGGCTAACAAGCTGACCTTGGGCCTGGAGCGCTCATTTGGAATCCATGCTCTCTGAGATGTGCTCTGCTCTTCTGGGAGAGACGGAGGGAGGGAGGAAGGGAAGGAGGGAGAGTAGGAGGGAGGGACGGGGTCGCAGGAAGGGTGTGTGTGTGTTTGTGTGTGTGTGTTTTAACTGTTTTCTGTGAGAAAGGGGATACTGTAGGAGTCAACACAGAGGCTTTGTTCAGTCTTAGTTCATGTTTCTGTGTTCTGGCAGAAATAGCATCATCCCCAGGAGAACCCAGGCAGCAGGACCTCTGTGCCTGCCTGTCTGCCTGCCCAGCAGAGCCATGGGGGAGGGGTGAGGGCTGAGGGAGCATAATGTCAAACATCCAGAAAAACAGGAAACTTTACCAGCCCCAACGATTTATAGTATAGCACGGAAACCATAACATTACATTTATCATAGACATAACTTGTTGTGTTAAAAGTAGTCATTATTCACCCCCATTGTCTCTCTCTTTTCTTCTCTATCTGTCCGTCCGTCCGTCTGTCTGTCTCTCTCTCTCTCTCTCTCTCTCTCTCTCTCTCTCTCTCTCTCTCTCTCTCTCTCTCTCTCTCTCTCTCTCTCTCTCTCTCTCTCTCTCACGTACACTCACTCAACACAAACATTCTGGCATATTCCTACCCTCAATAGCTGTTTCCATTTTAATTGGTAAGGACAGTGAAGTCAAGTGTTTTAGTGCTTGAGAATAGTTTGTTTTTGTGGCAATAGGAGAGTGCAGGGTGAAACCACTACTGCTACTGATGAGAGCAGAGAGCAGAGACGACTCAGGACTCGACCTGCTGCATGCTGGCCGTTGTGGACCTGGGGCACCAAGCCAGCTCTTCCTAGCCCCAGCCCCAGTCCCAGTCCCAGCCCCTGCCCCAGTCCCAGTCCCAGTCCCAGCCCCTGCCCCAGTCCCAGCCCCAGCTCCTGCCCCAGCTCCTGCCCCAGTCCCAGTCCCAGCTCCTGCCCCAGTCCCAGTCCCAGTCCCAGCCCCAGCCCCTGCCCCAGTCCCAGCCCCAGCCCCTGCCCCAGCTCCTGATCCCTGTCTTACCATTGACTTTCAGTATGACCCTCATTACCAACAGGCACCTTCTGCTGTGGCAGACCTGCAAGATGGTGGGGGGTGCGGGGAAGGGAGTAAGTGTGTGGGCCTACCGGGAGAGACCTCTGTGAGACAAGCAGGCAGGCAGGCAGATGTCCTTCAGTTAGGGGACTGGAACATGTGTCCTGGACAGAGACGGTGTTAGTCAGTCAGGTCAGCCAGTGGCTGTCTCCTGTCTCCCCCTCTCCCTCCCTCTCCCTCCCTCAAACTCACACCCCTTCTGTTTCACCTAGTACCCAGCTAGTTAACACATACATTCTTACACAACTAGGCTGAAACACACTGGAGACGTGGCAGCCCTCCGCAGCCCTACCTCCTCTCTGTCCTTGAGCGGTGCATGGATTAGTTAGCGGTGGCTGTGTGTCGTGTCACACCTCCCTCCTGCATGTCTTCCTGCTCTCCTGATTGTATTTATTGTTTCTTACCTCCTGGAGTCTGGCTGTGCTGGGTAGAGCTGCAGCTCCTCACCCCATGGCTACGACCTGCTAATCAGGCCTCACAAAAGCCAGGCTGACTGCCTCTAATTTGAAGCAAAACCCAATTATGCTATTTTTCCGGAACAATAAAGTTCTTCCCACTCGAGGTCAGGGGCTTTGCCCATCTACAGCTGTTAACAAACATCTGTCCAACAGACTCGGCTTCCGCTCCGCTCCTACACAGACTGGAGCCTCACGTGTAGCCTAGAGACATAGTCAGGCAGCTCGACGAGAGCCATGCTCAACTCCACAATCTACTTCAGCAAACAACAATGTCACCCTAACCCAAAATGCTCAAACTAACTCAACGTTGTATTAGTGAGGTGGGGGGGGGGGGGGGGGGGGGGGGGGGGGGGGGGGGGGGGGGGGTAGAGTTGTGTTCATTTCGGTGGCCCCTTGAAGACAAAAGGCTGTTTGTGTGTGAGGTGGGGGCAGTGCTATCATTGTGGGAACATAATCAGTCGGTCATTTCCGCTGCCCATGTGCTGTTGTGCGCCTCGGGTCCCCCAGAAGAATGAACCTTTTGTGTGCTGTGTATGTGGCGGCGATAAAGTTTGGTACAGGAGAGTATACATGTTTATATCTGGAGATATGTGAGCAGGACACAAAGTGCTTTGTTTGGCTTTAGTCTGCGTCTGCACTACGGAGGGTGGGGCACACAGGCCACCGGGGCTGCGCCACTTTTTCCATCCACACAAATGGAGTCTGTATGGGGCCCTGGCAAACCAGGAAATGAGACAAGGCATGCTGATTGGTCATACCGAACAGAAAGTAAATTCTCCTTGACAACGCCATCTGTTTGAATAACATAGAAACAGAGCGGCTTACCTACTCTGAGCCAGAAGGCTTGTCAGAGAGTTATGAGGTGGTATCTGTCTGGTCTGGAGCTGTGAGAGATTGTACATACTGTACTCTACCTAGCCCTCACTCTGAGACAGCAGTCCTATTTGACAGGCCCCTGCCACTTACAGCAGGGGACAAAAGCCAATTTAACCACTTACCTGGTGGCCAATCAATAATAGCCTGAGGCAGACAGTAGTGCTGTCAACATAGGGGAGTGGGTCTTAGAGAGGGGCCAGTACAAAAACATAATAAACTCCAGACCTGATCATAAAACAATCTAATTTATGCTGTGTTCAAACTGACTGGAAAAGAGTGGAAACTCAGATTTGTATTTGAATGTTAGATACACATTAATTATAGTTCACATGTTCATAGTGCCTAGAAGTTTTAACAGCATCACTAAAGCCTCCAGTTTTCATCAATGATAGACAATCTGCCTTCCTTATATCTAAAGTTTATTTAAATGATGACGTTTATTGTGTTGTGGGATTTTTTGACCCAACACCCATTTTCTGTGATGGTTGTCTGACATTTTTTAATATGTTTTCAAAAGACATCAGTATCCGTAATAACCTATCCACTGAGCGCCTGCCAGATAATCAGGACAGCAGTAGACAGATAGAATATTATACAGAGTTCAATCCCTTTGCTGTGTGGAAAAGTGAATGTCATTGAACGCTTAGCCAGTCATCAAAACCACACGTCTGAGTGGTAAGTCACCACTGGTTAGTAAAGTTACTGATTTATCGCCAAGGAAAACAAGCATGATGACATCAATGGTCTTTGTGCAGCAAGCAGGATGGGGCCTTAATAATGTATGCGTTTAATGTATTCTGTGATGGGAGTCCAACTGGGTTTGGTTTTCTAAGTGTGGGATGGCAGGCATATAGAGGGCCAGCTCAGGTGGCTGTGTTATAGGGTCCTATTACAGGCCAGAAACTCCAACAGAAACCTCTCTACTGCAGCTCCTTCCACAGTGGAGGGTGGAGGGAAATCAGAACAGTCTCTCTCACGTTGTCTGAAAACTTCTCTCTGTGATGAGCGGAAAAAGAGCGCTCCAAGTGTGCTGAATGAGAGCCATGGCTGTGTGGTTTTTAAAAAGGCTGCTGTCTCTCCCTGGATTCAAGCTTTGATATACAGTAAAGACCTTTGATGGAGGTTCTCTGCCAGGCATGGAAAGAGAGGAAGACGTGTGAGAGAGAGAGAGAGGGGGAGAGAGAGAGAGAGAGAGAGAGAGAGAGAGAGAGAGAGAGAGAGAGAGAGAGAGAGAGAGAGACAGAGAGACAGAGACAGAGACAGAGAGAGAGAGAGAGAGAGAGAGAGAGAGAGAGAGAGAGAGAGAGAGAGAGAGAGAGAGAGAGAGAAAGAGAAAAAGAAAAAGCTTTGAATGGTGTCTGGCTTTGGATGTTAACGCCTTGTGGGTTTCCTCCCTCTCCTCCCTACAGCAACTGTATGCCGCCCAGCTTGCCAGCATGCAGGTCTCTCCTGGAGCCAAGATGCCGCCACTCCCCCAGCCTCCCAACAACAGCGGACCCATCTCCCCCTCCGGCCTGAAGAACGACAAGAGATCCTCCAGCCCTATCACTCAAATCAAGGTAGGCCCCCGCCTCTCATCCCTCACACAGCCCACCACCCACTGCCCAATGCCCCTGCCACTCAAGTCAAGGTAGCCCTGCCTACCCTCACCCATCACTTAACCCACCCACAGCCCACCGCCTAAGTACTGGAGTGGTGCTTGACCCAGCCTGCTGCCTGCTCAGTAAATGAGTGGTAGTAGTGGTAGTGGTGCTGCTGTTCTGTGTTCTGTGCTAATACTGGGCCAAACGTCTTACCGGCCCATCAATCTGTGGGCCTTTAACAAGGCCCGCTCTCTCTCAACCAGAACTCTGTGGACATGGTTGCTATGGCTGTGGGCGCTCTAAGTGAGAGAATTTGTGGAACACATGGTTTCAGATCACAAGGAACAGCAGAACCTTTTTTATTATCACATCCACTGGGATGGAACAAAACCATTAGAACAGAGAGAGAATCACTCGTATGTTAATGCAGTTTAAAAAGTGAAGGGAAAGGAGGAATTGATGGGTCTTATTGTCTTGTAAATAAACCAGAGAGCAGGGCCTGCTACTGCATGGCCTGGATCCACCAGACCTCTGTATGGAGCATAGGGTAGATACATCATCCTCTCACCATTAGAGGCCAAAATCAGAAACATGCCTCCATTTGGAAAAGTTTAGCTTAATATCACAATAGTGAAGGGACTTAAATCATGTAATTGAATGGTAGTGCAGCTCTCTCTTTCTGGTATTCTCTTCAGCATGCAGGATCTGGAGCTAAAACACTGCCTCCCCCACAACCCCAGGCACACAGCCTCCTGAAAGCTCATCCATGGGCCTGTATCAAGCTGTCTCCTCAACACTGTCACTTTATAGGATCTATGTCATTAAGGCTGTTTGTTAGATAAGAGGCACTGTACAGATCCTACAGGCCTTTTCACTCAAATATTTTGACATTGAGTTGACGTTCTGAATTGGCTCTATGGGTATGTATCGTACTTCTAAACACTACAAGGTTGTGAACTTGAACTATCAATAACTAAACACTAATGTAAAGTACATATGTCCCCAAAGCCCCATCTGTATTCATCCTTAGTTAGAATTAGATTGCTGTTAGTTTTGTTTGTCAGCTTTTGGCTTCATTGGATGACAAACTGTTATTGGCACAGCAATAACAAGGCCTTGAGGCAGTCTGTGTCTGAGCCAGCCATATGTTTGGACAAGAAGACACTTGGGCTTTGAAAAAGACTGTTAACAACAGCATACAGACTAATCTCAGTGATGAGACTTCACTAGAAAGATAGATAAGGAGGCAGTAGAGCTATCCTTGACCCACCCAGGTACTTTCCTCCATTGGTACGTGTGTAATACCTACAGTACCATCCAGTCAGGTAGCAGGTATCCTCTCCAAGAGCTCCTAGACACTGCCCTGGGGAACACCACAGATCACCATCAGCCTCAATCACAACTTACTGCTGCTCTGTGCTGCACTGCAACCAGCCCAGCAGACATGTCCTTCTGTGACCTGACATCTCACATTAACTCACCCAACTTCACTAAGAATGCATTCTAAGCCAGTTATACAATTTATTACACACTGTCGGATGCAGTATTACATGAAACAAATGACTAACACCAGTATCCGCAAATGAGAAAGGAAATTGGAAAACAACTTAATGAATTAGATAACGCAACTGACGTTTGATGACTGTTACTTACAACCATCTTTAATCATCACCATGCATCTCTGTAATGTGGTTATTATTCATTCTTAGACCAGAGAAGAGGGAGAACAGATGAAGATGTACAGAGAGGCAAAAATCTGATTTAATTATTGTGAACAAAGGCGCTCGGCAACTGTGAGGACGGCCATGATGGCACGGTGCCAGCAGATGAATGAGGAGAGGAGGGGAGAGGAGAGGAAAAGAGGGGGAGAGTAGAGCAGAGCAGGATAGAAGAGGGGAGAGGAGAGAAGGGGAGAGGAGAGGGGGGAGCAGTGGACGGTCAGATAGGAGCACTAGTAATTAGTCAGGAGCAGAGTGTTGTCTGGGAGCCCACACATCCTCCAACAGGAGAAGCCCTTATTCACATCGATCTCCTCTCTCTCCCGCTGTCTCTCCCTCTCTATCTCTCTCCCCCTCTTTCTGTCTGTTTCGCTCTCTCTTTCTCGCTCTCTCCTATCTCTCGCTCTCTCTCTCTCCCACTCCTTTCCCTTACCCCATCTCCACAAGGAGGAGGGAACGCAGCCTCTCAACCTGTCTGCCCGGCCCAAGACGGCTGAGCCAGTCAAGTCCCCCACGTCCCCCACACACAGCCTGTTCACGGGCAGCAAGACCAGCCCCAACAGCCTGTCCAAGAGCGGCATCCCCAGTCCCCTCGGAGGCATGGGCCGTGGGTCTTCTCTGGGTAAGAACTGGCCACACTCTGCATCTCACCTCCAGCTCCATCTCCAATAGTCAATACATACTGATTGAATAACCACACAGGAGCACACACAGATCTGTTTTGAACTGGCCACCCCCTAGATCACATAGAAAGATCAGTATAATTCCATAACATTGATATAGGATCAAAGCTGGATATTTTGTTGGTTTTATTTTCTGTGTTTAGATAATGGGAGTTGAACATACAATATTTCACACTGTCAAGGTGTACAAATGGCTTTGAACAATGTGACCAGCCAGAATGTTGGCCATTTTTTAAATCTGGATTAAACAAAAGTGAATGACGTTTATCCCTATGTAGACGAAACTGTTGACACAATTGCAACTCCTATTCTCGGTAGAACCTTGATATTAAAAACCATGCAATATAGACCTGCGGATGTTGTAACACATTATTTGTTTTTAAGAGGTCTCACGTTTCACCATCCCTCTCATGTTAAGCCTTTCTACTCAGCCTTTGCTAACTGTTATTAAATGCAGTCTTTCATTAAAGTGGCTGTATTTCCGCTGTTTGGCTCAGACCGGGGGCTTTAAACCCAGTCCCTATGTTTGTTTTTCTTCTATTTCTGTGTTTTTAACTGTCATCCCTCCTCACCTAACTTTGAGATGTTAATTACACAAAGAAGGCGACAGACTCGGTCTACTGCCTCTCGCTGTCTTTAAAACAGCCCCACACGTACACAGATGCAGGCAGCACACACACACACACACACACACACACACACATACACATACACACACACACATACACACTCACTGGAAAAAGGAGGAGGACCTCCTACAAGGCTTGATTCTCCACATAGGATGATGAACACCTGTCAGTGGGCTCATTCACTGTGAATCAAAATGAATAGTGTGTATGTGTATCTACTGTTTATGTGTGTGTGTTTTTAACTGGGCCTGTCCCTCCCTCCCCCAGACATCCTGTCCAGCCTGAACTCCACAGCGCTGTTCGGGGACCAGGATGCGGTGATGAAGGCCATCCAGGAGGCCAGGAAGATGAGAGAACAGATCCAGAGAGAGCAGCTGCAGCACCACCAGCAGGGCATGGAGGCCAAGCTCTCTGCCCTCACAGGCATGGGCCTCAACAACTGCAGCAGGGCTGACAAGGTCAGAATGCCTGCCCCCTCCGTCCGTCTGTCTGTCTGTCCATCCAGCTCTCTGTCTCATTCTCTCTCATTCCTTTTCTCCTCTCTTCCATGTATCTTCCTGTATGTTGCTTTCTGTTTATTCACTCTTCTCTTTCTGTCTCTTTTCTCCCTCCCTCCCTCTTTTGTCCTCACCAACAGAGCTGGTTCACTGAGTACATTGTGAGTAGCCCAAAACCAGAACTAGTAAAGTGATTTCCGCTATTTTCTTTTTTAGATATAGTTCTTCAGACCAATGTTTGTCTTTAATCCTAGTCCAGAGTAGTGGTTTTGATTGACATTGGCATGGTTGTGTGTGTGTGTGTGTGTGTGTGTGAGTGTGTGTGTGTGTGTGTGTGTGTGTGTGTGTGTGTGTGTGTGTGTGTGTGTGTGTGTGTGTGTGTGTGTGTGTGCGTGCGCGTGTGTGTGTGTGCGTGCGTGCATTATGGTGTTTGCGTGTGTGTGTGTTGATGTTGGTGGTAGAGGAACGGACCATGGTGCTGCCCGGTGCGGGTTAACACTCTGATGTCTCTGCCCAATTAAAGCAGACATACGGCCCTCTCCGTCCCTCGACATGGGACAGGGGTGCTTTGTACCAGGAGCACACACACTCCCCTCCCTGGGACTCCCTTTTAAAATATCTTCAAGCGATGAGTCAATCAAGGAGAGAAAAAAACATCCTCCTCCCTCTGATTGGTGCCATATTGCCAGTTGGCTGTGAGGAGCAGGCAGGAACTGGGAGCAAAGCTTCATTAATATTTCAACACCTGACACTTTGAACCAACACATTCAACTAGGTCAATGTATATGTAAAAAAGTCAATGAATATCTATTTTGATTTCTTCTTTAATTTAATATTAGGGGTAAATCTGTGTCTACACAGGTGGCAATGCAGTGAGCTCAGACTGAAGTGTGTCAAGTCAAGGGACATGGCCTATAGTTAAAGAACTCAGTGGGATAAAATTGTCTTGCCATGCAACCAGACAATAAAACCTTTTGTATGGTTTTTGTATTGAAAGTTCAGTCCCATCTCACAGAGTTGCATCATTAAAAAAGGAAAAACACACTACCATTTTCTTCTAGTTGTACCCCTTAACACTTAACACCCCACCCTCATAACTGTTACTGTTAGCTAGTTACGCTTCCTCAGTTTCTCTGTCTTTGTTCGTTATCCACTAAGTGGGACAAGGCAAAGGTGGGTGAGTCTGAGGCCCGTAGAGTAATGTTAACTCTCCCATCTCCCGTTTCCACTCAGTCACTGTCTGTCTGTCTGTGTGTCTGCGGGATGGCCCTGTAGTGTTCTCTACCTCCCTGACTCTAAGGTGAGCCAAGCTCCAGAATCTGCTCCTACATGATATGAATGCAGCGTGCGAACAATGCCCTGAAAGGAACTGTTTTCAACAGGCAGCAAACACCTACCACGCCATTGTTCTTAGCAGGTAGAGCTTAACGCTTTTCTCTTTTGTTGGCTTTAGTTTTAGTTTCGACTGCATTGTGGGCCTGTCTAGTCAGCCTGTGTTTAAACAATCCTCTCAGGTGAGCTGTGTGTATTTATAACAGGGGCTGACACTGTCAATCACTCCTCACCTCTGCTCTACCTTTTTCAGTCTGTGTACTCAGTCTGAGGAAAGAGAGACAGAGAGAGAGACAGAGACAGAGAGAGACAGAGAGAGTGAGAAAGATATTAAAGATGGTGGGTAAATGCGGGGCGAAAGGCTTTGATGTCATATCAAATAAAGAGTTATTTGTCACATGCCTCATAAACAACAAGTGTAGACTAACAGTGAAATGCTTACTTACGGGTCCTTTTCCAACAATGCTGAGTTAAAGAAAAAAAATGTCATTGGAAATATGTGTGGGTGTGTGGGTAGAGCCCATTGTGTGTGCATAGAGTCAGTGCAATGTAAGAGTCAATGTAACAGCGAGGTAAGACTGGGGAGGCTTGCGGTTCAAGATCACAGCATTGACAGTACACGGCCAAGAACAACAAATTATAATTAGGTGGGCTATCAGTTGAAAATATGACTGGTATTTTGGGGTTATCGTGTTGCCCTAGGTAACGGTACACACCACAAAGCCTTTGTGTGCCTGGCCTCTCTCTCCATCCTCCCACCTGGGTCTGTCAGAGGAAAGCTTACCAGTGGCACAGCTATGTTTAGGAGAAGTAGCTGCATCTCTAATGAGTTAGCATGAAACCCTTGGCACTACCTCTCCTGCACTCTTAGAAAAAAATTTGCTATCTAGAACCAATAAAGGTTCTTCAGTTGTCCTTTGAAGAACTCTCTACCTCCCGAGTGGTGCAGTGGTCTAAGGCTGTGCCACTAGAGATCCTGGTTCGAATCCAGGCTCTGTTGTAGCCGGCTGCAACCCAGCGTCGTCCAGGGTAGGGGAGGGAATGGCCGGCAGGGATGTAGCTCATTTGGTAGAGCATGGTGTTTGCAACGCCAGGGTTGTGGGTTCGATTCCCACGGGGGGCCAGTATGAAGAAAAAAAAAAATTATGTATGCACTAACTGTAAGTCGCTCTGGATAAGAGCGTCTACTAAAAATAAACAAAATATTTTTGAAGAACCCTTTTTGGTTCCAGGTAGAACCCTTTTGGGTTCCATGTAGACATGGAACCCAAAAGGGTTCTACCTGGAACCAGAAAAGGTTATCCTATGGGGAAAGCCGAAGAACCCTTTTGGAACCCTTTTTTCTAAGAGTGTGGGTGAATGACTGAAGTATAAGTGCTGATGCTACAAGTGCTTAGAGAGGGACTGAGTACCAGCTCTTCATGCTGTCTCTGAGGTCAATGTAGTAGTGAATATGATCAGTCTTCTGTAGCCATGCTTGGCTCCATCCCTAGACCAAAGGCAGATAAAGACTGTTCCACTGACACTGTCCCTATAAGGATGGTGTGTGTGCTCTGTGCTGGGACACACTCTAACAAGTGAGCCAGAAGAGTGATCATCACAGTGGAGCAGTAAAAACAGAGGGCTGTAATTCAGCCTGGGAAGGAGGGAGGGAGGGAAGGAAGGAGGGAGGGAGGGGGGAGGGAGGGAGGGGGGAAGGAGAGAGCGCCTGGCCTGGCGCAGCACAGCACGGAGTGGCCTTCCCTTCCCCTGATACAAGCCAAGCCGACAGTCTGCACAGGCCCGGACGGCCCAGATAAAAGCTTTCACTTTGGTCAGTTTCAGAATATTAATATTTCAGCCAAGCGCCTCACCTGACATAAATACTGTGTGCTCTTTAATAGCTGTGCTCCCGGTCGGCTGTTTGGAAGTTTATCACAGTGAAAGCTTACATGAAGATTCTGGAAAAGTAACATAAATGGGATTAAGGAGAGGTTAAAATCATCTAGTGTGGCTGTTGGAGGGGGATATTAAATATTGATTTATCCCAGTGTAACGACCCAGCCGGAGAGTGGGGCTAAGTGCTGCTTACAGATGGATCAATTCATCTTTTAATACAAAGTGTGTCCATGGAGCACAATGCATCCCTTCCTCCTCTCTCACCCCTATTACAGGGATCCCTCCATATGGCCCTTCTTACTCTCTCTTCTCTTCTCTCTCTCTTCTCTCTCTCTCATCTTTCTCTTTCTCTCTCTCTCTAGTCTCTTTCTTCTGCCCTCCCCTCTCTCTCTCTCATCTTTCTCTCATCTCTCTCTCTCTCTCTCTCTCTCTCTCTCTCTCTCTCTCTCTCTCTCTCTCTCGTTCCTCCTCATCTTTCTCTCCATACTACTGCCCTTTGAGGTGGAAGACGTCCTTTTATTCTACAGTACACTAGTCCTCTACCTTCTTGTTGAGGACATGTAAAATATTCATGCTTTACTGTTTTCTATTTGTCCTTTTTTACTATATCCCATCAGTACAATAAAAGCTTTTCCAAGCCTCTCACAATTTACCTTTTTGAAATATTTATCTAAAGGTATTATTGTCTGTAGAGGGCAATTACTTTGTTCCATTATTTATTTGCTTAGTGGATGCTTTTATCTAGAACAACCGAGAATGCGTACAGTCAAATACAACAGGATCCATTTGTAACTCCTGGAAGTGTCTCCTGCTATTAGCATAGGTAGCTAGAACTGATAAAACTGTTAGGATTGGGTGTATTCATCTGCAGGTTGAAGATTTCATAGCTTGTCCTATATGAACTGAGATAGAGGAGAAAACTGGCTACAGAGTCACTGATTCAGGTGTCACAGATTGGTGATATTCATTTAGCTCTTGTCTTGATTAATATTCCCATAGCTCTTGTCTTGGTTGATATTCCCATAGCTCTTGTCTTGGTCTTGGTAGTACCCACTGTTAACTGGAGGCTGTGTGTAGAAATACAATATATTCCTCTGCTGACATCTCCCAAACTGGAATCAAAGGGTGAAAGGCCAGTGAATTAACCTATTGAACTGCCCCTATCCCCCTTGACACCCCCTCCTCCCTACATTATTGATTAGTATAATATTCTCTTTCCCATGTCCTACAGCTCAGAGCCTAACATATTCAAATGGAGCTTTGCTGGTGTTCCACAAAGTCCTGACTCCTAACCTTTTGCAAGTAGTAGAAATGCTCTTCTCGCTCTAATCTGTGTGTGTGCGTATGTGTGTGTGTGTGTGTTCGTGTGTGTGCTGGGGTCCTATTCAGGCAAAGCCCTCACAAAGACTTTGAATATAATCTTGTCTGGTCTGCAGCCCTGGAAGCAATTTTCTGCTGCTTTTCGACTGCTGTCTTGGAAATTGCCAACCAAGGCTTTTTGGCTGCAATGTAAAAACCCTGGCATACATGGGTTTGGCTATCCAAATTAGATTATGTTCTGCTCCCAGACACTGGCCATAGCCAGCAAGTGCCATTGTTGAGTATTGCTTACATTAATGCTTTGTCCAATTGTTCACATCTGTCAAAGGAATAAAAATAGTCTATGACTCTGAATGAGGTTGTGGGTGGGTGTGTGTGGGCGTCCGTCCCAGGCCAGGACTGAAACAATACCACCCGCTCTTTCTCTCTTTTCTCTCTGTCTCTCTGTCTCGCCTCTCCCCAAAAAGACATCAAGGCCGCATCCTGGTTGGGCTGTTGGCTGAGGTAGCTCCCTTTTACGTCATTGCGGTGTAAAATGGTGAATTGCCAATGCACTGCAGCCGCTCAAAAATGTTACTGGCCCAGAGCTCTAGACCTGAAGAGAGAGCCACGCTCACTGCCGGCCGGGCCTCTGT